GAGCGAGAGGAGATCCAGAAGGAGCGAGAGGAGTTTCAGAAGGAGAAAGAGGAGCTGGAGAAGCAGAAACAGGAACTTGACACCTGGAAAAATTCGCACGCACAGGGACAGACCTCTGGATTTTACAGTTGTTGATAGACTACAGTATGCCTAATTCACAAGGAAATGAGGATTTCCTTTTTATGGAAATAGTTATTTCTTTACCCTTTTTATTTTTACAAGATTGATTTGGAATTGCGGGGGGATGGGGCTGTGGGAGCGGGGGAAATGCTGGGGATGTTGTATTTTGTTTAGCTAAATTAAAGTTTAACTTAACCTACCAGGAATTCAAACATGTACATGCATGCAAATAATAGATTACCTGCCATTTAAAATAGAGACTAGTAATGAGAAGCTTTTCGTGTCAGATAACTAGAACTTCAGCTTCATCCAATTTACTCTCATGATGTAAATGTATCTATGTTAGTGTTAACACGGGACTAAAAAAAAGATTCATGTTTGTTCCAAAGTTGTTACAAAATTGACCAGTGTGTGAGTGTATTCAGTGTTTTTGTACATTTCTGCACTGGGAATAAAAAGAAAACTTTCAGCCTTTTCTTTCTCTGTGCTTGGGAAGTTTAAGTTTTTTATTTCTGCCTTTAATACAAAAACTAATCAAATTACTTCAGTAAAAGTCAAAAGCCACCCAAAACTGTTTGGTCGCAACTAGCCAACGATGTTTTGCAAAAGAAAGAAATCTATAATTGTATGTTTAATATGAGAATACTTGAATTATAATTTATTTTAAAAAGGAGTTTAATTGATTTGCATTAAATAGTTTTCATCAGCCGTTACCATTGTTTGTTCATTTAAAAAAAGTTACACATAGGTCCATAGAGGGGACAATGTCACAAACAGATAACTACCTAAATGAATTAATTAATTGATTTAGCTCTTTACAGTTAGTTAAATTCCCATATAATTAAAGCTGAACAGATTTTGTTTAATACGCTCTTGATTAATGATTTTACTGCATAAATATTGTTTTTGTGCTTAGTTTAGTATTATAATTACATCATTTGTAATTATTTGGCCTGCAGTGCTCAAAAGCTTAAATAAAACAAACTTTAAAAAAACGTGAATTCTTTGATGTTTTACTAACAAAATGGAAGTCCTTGTAAGTCATGCCTAATTTATAAGAAAATAGATTTTGTAAAATGTAATAAGGGTGAAATGTTAAATGCTGTTTGCATTAACAGCCAAAATAATCACATAATAGATTAAAAAGACTGAAAAATGATCCATAAAGATGCAAAAGGGTGAAAGTGATAGCTTACCTAAAAATGATGTCAGAACTTTTCATTTCTGAGTGAAGTATCCCCTTAAGTGAAAGGAAAAGATGCGCGTCCGGTGAATTCTGGGCCTCCTTGCTTGCCATAAAACGCGATTTCCGTTAGCCATTATCAAAACACTTTTGGTTATTCATTTTTTATGTATTTTTGGTATTACAGACAATATTTGGGCATTAGATAAAGGGACAGAAATGGACACTTCTCTGGACATTGTGAAGAGAGATAACATTCTTCAATCTGAGTAGGATGTTGTTGAGGTCAAGTATGAAGATAAAAGCTCCCCTGTTCTTATTTTCAAGTTTAATGGGGAGATTAATAATGAATGCATGAATATTTAAATATTTATTTATTGAACTATTTATTTGAAGTAATAAACCCTTCCTACACAGAAAACAAGGAAAAACTACTAAACTTTCTAAATCAGATGGAGTCAGAGAGAACTAAAGAGGAGAGCAAGCTGGCTGAAAGAGAGCAATAAAAAAACAAAAATGTTAGTCCAGAAAACAGCCCATCTTAAAGTCCAGATCACGTCCAGAAGAGATTTAAAAAGGTCAAATCTAACGTTTTGACAACGTGTGTGTTTTTGCTGTTCTGTGACTTCAGTTTTGTCTGTTAACTCAGGTTGAAAAGGCACAAAATGACATGCTGCTGCTTAAAAGATTAGAGGAAAATGACACATTACACGATCTTAGAGAAGAAATAATGGCCTTTAGAGCAGAGAATCGGCAGCTTAAAGGCCCAGAAAAAAAAGTTTTACATTTTTTTTAAACTATTTTAAGGACAAAATTATTAGCCCCTTTAAGCTAAATATATATTTTCAATAATCTACAGAACAAACCATCATTATACAATAACTTGCCTAATTACCCCAACCTGCCTAGTTAAACTAATAAACCTAATTAAGCCTTTAAATGTCACTTTAAGCTGTATAGAAGTGGCTTGAAAAATATCTAGTCAAACATCATTTACTGTCATCATGGCAAAGATAAATTAAATCAGTTGTTAGAAATGAGTTTTTAAAACTATTATGATTAGAAATGTGTGGAAAAAATCTTTACTTCGTTAAAGAGATTGGGGGGAAAAATAAACGGGGGATCTAATAATTCTGACTATAACTGTATATTTTGACATAAATATACTTTCATCAGATGAATCCAATAGCTATATTTGGAAATATTTCATGATCAAGTCTGTTTCTATCAAGTGTTTTTGCATAACTCATAATAAATTACAAGCATATACAAATACAGCCGAGCAAAGATAAATGTTCAATCAACAGTGCTTTATGGAGCGTCTAGCAAAATTTAGGTATAGAAATTGAACAATCAAACATATAATAACATTGTCATTGATGTAAAAAGTATTTTAAATTAATAATATCTGTATTTTTTAATCTTTAATAAATTTAGAGCACATTTAAATCGTGCAGTGTGACTATTGCGGATACACACATTGCCATATCAATTCTCAAACGATATATTGTTCAGACCCATTGACCACAAAACCAATTGCAATTTATAAGTCTTGCATTCATTTATCAAACTGAATAAATAAGCTCTCCATTGATGTATGGTTTGTTGGGATAGGACAATATTTGGCATATAAACAACTATATGAACATCTGGAATATGAGAATTTAAAAGTATACATGAAATATTAAGAAAATTGTCTTTGAAATGCTCCATATCATAATTCTTAGCAATGCATCTTACTATTAAAAATACATTTTGTCATTTATAAGGTAGCAAATTGAATAAATATATTCATAAAACATGATCTTTACTTAAAACACTAATAATTTTTTACATAAAAACAAAAATCAGTTATTGTCCTGTACAATGTATTTATTTTTTATTTTTTTCTTAACTGTACCAGTGGTTTTGTGGTAGAAGGTGAAACTGATATTTCTCTTTCAGACACCATTCTAAAGAGTTTTCCAACAACTTCTCGAAAGTTTCTTCGTGCTGCTTTACGAGAAAAAAAATGAATGATGAACATAAACTCAACAGGTTGGACATTCAAGTTTTATTTCTTTTGTATTTTAAATGTGATTATTTGCATATTTAGTTTTACATATTAGCTAATCTGCAAGATGATTATTTTTATTTGTTCTTATATAATTACAGTATATTTAATTTAAATTTTTTTACATATGTTCTGTATATCTATATTTCTCAGGCAACATAAGGACACTGATATGTTGTAAAACTCAGGGAAGAGGTGAGAAAAACAATTAACATGCTTACACTTATACCAAATTTATACTTTTGTATTATTATAAGTTTAATATTTTTTTCAGAGTCTGGAGTATTTGGTTTCTGCAGAATGTTCTGTCCATGTTCTGTTCAGTGTATCATTTTCTTCTCACTTGTCTCAGTTTTGTGTCACTTTAAGCTGTTTTGATTAATAAATGATTAATAATAAACATTATACGTCTGATTAATTTATTAATTTACTGATTGGTTGGAATTAAAATTTGAGACCCATACATTTCTTTAAGAAGGTGTTTTCTGGCACTGGGCACCAGAACATCCCGACCAAGAAACTTCCCACTTTCTTCCCTCAGGCAATCCATCTCATAAACACTCGATGATAATAATTAACAAACATCACTACTTGCTATACACTTTTTACACACATATACACTTATTTAACAACATACTTTACATGTCAATTTGCACATAACAGCTGAGCATATAACTTTGTATATAGTAATATACCTGCACATACATTTGTCAATTTGTATATTTGCATTCACTGATAGCTTCTATTTTTAAAATATATTTATTATCTGTTTTTTACAGTGACGCATTGCTGCCACACACATACTTTTTATGTATGTAAATATGTAAATATGTGTGTGGCAGCAATGTGTCACCGTAGTTTTTTGTCCTTTTTTGAATTTTTACAAATTCCTCGTATGTGTAAACATACTTGGCAATAAAGCTAATTCTGGTTCTGATTCTACTACAATAGATCTCTTCAGCAGTCCAACAGGATTAGTAGTATACATACGTGTACTAGTTTGGTAGTTTATTAGGATTCCTATAAAAAAGAGTCCTATTAAAAACTGTACACTAATGCTTCAGATTTCCTGTAAATCCCTCCAGGAGTCCTGCATGTTCTTCCCATGTTTGTGTAGGTTTCCTTCAGGTGCTCTCCCCACAATCTAAGGACAACAGGTGATATGAATAGACCAAATTGGTTGTAGTGTTTGAGATTGTGTGTGAATAAAAGCGTGTATGGGTTTCCCCCTAGCACTGGGTTAAAGTCAGAGTTATTGTAGGTACATTCCACTGTGGGGACCCCTGATAAATCAGAGACATGGAAAGTTAATTTGTGTGATTTATAATAATAAAACCAGCATATTACAGTGATTTCCGAGTTGGCACTGAAGACTTACAAGTAATTTCTTAGTTTGTTTATTTAATTTATGGTTATATTATCTTCTTTTCTGTTCAGCAGAAGAAACTCAAACAGGTTTAAAAGAAGAGAAGGAGGAGTAAAAAAAAGTGTACGCGTATATTATGCATATTATGGCCCTCATCGCTTGCCGTAAAAAGTTTTTAGTGTAGTGAATCACGTGATTTCCGTCAGTTTCAACCACAACACTGGGCACAGCAATTTGAGATGTCAATGCATATCTAATTTTTCAATCAGCACATCGTCGGAAGAGCTTTCCTTTCTGTCCCTGACTGCACAGCGTATTTTGCTAAAGGGACATTTCCAAGCACCGCGTCTATCGGAGCCTCAAAATGCTGAATTTCTGTCCACAGTGTGGCTCAAAGTTACAGGCTGGGTTCAGATTCTGTCCCTCATGTGGGGAAAAGTTGCCAGAAAACCCAACAGATGAAGATGAACCTTCACCGCAACAAGAATCACATATAAACGCTGTGATTTCTTCTGTGAGCGCAATGGAGGGTAAATACAGACTACAGATCCAATATTTGATCATTACACAGCAAGTCAAAGATAACATAGGCTTAACGCTACGTTAAACACCTTAATATGGGCTACATGTTTACTGGTTTCATCCTTCAAATTCAGATTATAATAAAACGCGTTACTCGTCCATGCGCGGATTGTGGAGAGCATCTAGACTTTACATTCAGTTGAACACCTAACCAGACAGCCGTGTTAGAATTGAGTTGTAAAGGAGATATTGAATAACGAAGTGTGTCTTATTTGTTCTGTATTTTTTTGGTATTACTGTTTAATTACATCTTTATAAAGTATTTGTTTTGTGCAGTGGGCTGAAGGGTTTAAAAACCCAACCATTTAAAACTTTGCTCAGTACATTTTTTGTTGTTGCCTGCAACAATTCAGACTTGTTTTAAGTGGATGTTGGACTCTGGCAGGGTTGCCCTTTGTCACCAATTCTGTTCGTAATTAATATGGCCATGGTGCTCCATTGGAAGTAGGTGGTTTGCCATCTCCAAGTTGGAGGAAAGTCCTTACCCCAGGTGGAGGAGTTCAAGTATATTAGGGTTTTGTTTTGGAGTGAGGGAAGGATGGAACGTGAGATTAACAGGTGCATCGGTGCAGCACTAATGCGGTCGATGTACTGGTTTGTTGTTGTAAAGGTGAAGCTGAGCTGAAAGGCAAAGCTCTCAGTTTACTGGTGAATCTAGGTTCATACTCTCACCTATGGTCATGAGCTTTGGGTTATGACCAAAAGACAAGATCTCAGATACAAGCAGCCAAAATGAGTTTCCTTTGCAGCGTGGCAGGGCGCACCCTCATAGAGCTTTGGAGCTCTTGTCACCTGGGAAAAGCTCGAAGTAGAGCCACTGTTTCTCCACATCGAGAGAAGTCAGCTGAGGTGGCTCAGGCATCTGTTTCCTATGCCTCCTCGACGCCTACCTAGGGAGGTGTTCAAGGCATGTCTCACGAGGAGGAAGCCTTGGGGAAGACCCAGTACACAATGGAGGGACTATGTCTCTTGGCTTGCCTGGGAACGTCTCGGGATCCCCCCGGAGGAGCTAGAGGAAGTGTCTGGGAAGAGGGCAGTCTGAGGCTCCGGAAAAGCGGATGAAAATGAATAAAAATGATTTGAAATAAAGTAAAAGGTTATTTCTGTTTAGCAAGGGCACATTAAGTTGATCGAAGGTGTGAATAAAGAGCTCAATACTGTGATGAAATATTTATTTTCAGTTTCATGAGGTTCATTTTAACTTTTGTTGAAGAGTCCTGAAAAAGACTCATCACTGTTTCCAAAAAAAAAAAAAAAAGTCAGCATAAAAAACTCCGATTCCAAGCATTACAGTGATGCACACTTAATTGATGCAAATATTTGTTGATGTGACCTGACTGTGCTTCAGTCCTCAGTTCCTGCTTTTGTAATGAGTAATGGCAGCACATTAATTCACATTGTTTTGTAGTGGATTGTGCTGGGGACTCCTCTCCATCTGCACTGAGTCGCCCACCTTTACGTACAACTCGGCGAAAGACCTTGAGTAACACAAACACAGAATATACAGGTGAGTCTGAGGTTGTTATCTGTTCATATTGTAGAGAGAGACTGACTCTGAAGTTGTTCTGTGTCCCTATAGGAGAGACAGAAATAATATGTGTGTTTGTCAACTGCTTTATTTCAGAACAGAAGCCGGTTCCGTCTTCTCGAAAGAGAAAGTCATCTCAGCTGGTTAAAGAGGAGGAAGAAGTGGCAAAGAAAACCCAATCAATTTTAAGCCAAACTCCAGGTAGAGATGCTTTACTAAAACACTAGTCAATTACTTATAAAATACCATTTTATTAGAGCCAACATTACTTTTTAAAATGATCACATTCACTTAAAGAAGTTGCTAAATGCTAATCAACTCTGTTATTATATTGAATTATTATTATTATTATTATTTCAGATAAGACATCTTTTACACCTCCTCGAAAAGGAAAGGCGTCCCCTCAGATTAAAGAACAAGATGAGATAAAGCAAACTAATTTGTCTACACTTCAAACTCCAGGTGATATACAGTGGATGGAGACAAGAGTTGATATTTTAAGCATATATTTTTAAGTTGATATTTTAGATAGCTTTGATGATTAAAGCAGATTTTTCATCTTGGGTCATAAATCAAATAGCATATACGAGCACATTATAACAAATGTGCTCATTTAAACACAATATTACAAGTTGTATTCATTCATTATTTCAGATAAGATGTCTTCAATGTCACTTCAAAAGTATAAGGCTTCTCCCCTGATTAAAGACGAGGAGGCAAAGAAAACATCTCCAGCTATTCAAAGCCCATGTAAGAGACTGCACAGAGGATTAACTGCTCCATATATCTATTTATATATCTCTCTATATATACATTTATAATGAGGATGCTATCTCACTACTACTAATCTCACTATGCGTTATTTTTTTTTTACAATTTCCTCAAATAAAATTAATAAGTGTACTTTTTTATTTCTCAAATACTGCTCATATCTTTGTAAAAAACACATATATATATATATATATATATATATATATATATATATATATATATATATATATATATATATATATATATGTGTGTGTGTGTGTGTGTGTGTGTGTGTGTGTGTGTGTGTGTGTGTGTGTGTGTGTGTGTGTATGTATATACATATACACACACACACACACACACACACACACACAGTTGAAGTCAGAATTATTACCCCCCTTTGATTTTATTTATTTATTTATTTATGTATTTATTTTTTGTTTCTTTTTAAAATATTTCCTAAATAATGTTTAACAGAGCAATGAAATTTTCACAGTATGTCTGATAATATTTTTTCTTCTGGAGAAAGTCTTATTTGTTTTATTTCAGCTAGAATAAAAAGCAGTGTTAAATTTTTAATAACTTATTAGCCCCACTTATTAGTCAAAATTATTTCCACGTTTAAGCTATATACTTTTAACTATATTTAGCTATATATTTTTTATAACTTGCCTTATTACATTATCCTGCCTAGTACACCTAATTAACCAAGTTAAGCATTTAAATGTCACTTTAAGCTGTAGAGAAGTGTCCTGAAAAAATATCTAGTCAAATATTATTTACTGTCATCATGACAAAGATCAAATATATCAGTTATTAGAAATTAGTTATTTAAACTATTGTGTTTAGAAATTTGTTGAAAAAATCTCTCTGTTAAACAGAAATTGGGGAAAAAATAAACAGGGGACTAATATTTCTGACTTCAACTGTATGTATATATATATATATATATATATATATATATATATATATATATATATATATATATATATATATTTATATAGTTTAAAAGTGATTTGTATCGAATTTTTTGTGGTGCTTTGTATTAAATGGCAGAATGTTGTTGTTTTTAAGCTAAATGCAAAAGTAAGAAGCGGGTGAGCAGTGTTGACCCTGTTCTGGAGGGGACGGTGGTTTGTGACCAGTCAGGCAAAAAATGGAAGCTGATCGAACTTCTGTGGAAAACTGAATTAGATGTGACATATGGAGGTAAGATATTTGACTATCAAATCATGCTTTCTCCATTATTAAGATGAATGCTGTCATCTACACATCCCAAATCTCATTTTCTTATTTTGTATTAGTTCCTTGATATAGCAATACAATACATGTTGCTATTAAATCATGTTTGTTTTACTTTATCCAGTGTGCCAAGCAAATCAGCACGCAGAATCTGATGAATGCAAGTACATGTTGAGACTGGTGAGTGTTCACAATATAGTCTATCAGTGTGCACTTGTGTCTGTGAGTAAAGGGCCTCATGGCTTTGGGATCTTTTCTATAGGGTGCTAAAGAAGGACATTTGTTTAATGAGCAGAACTTCCATCTAAGAGCAGCCAAACCTGATGCAGGTCAGCCATTAGAACTTAATAAAAATCTATGATAGACCAGTTTAGTGCATCTGTGCTTGTGATCACAGTTTTTTTTTCTGTATCAATAGTGGAGAAATGGGGGAAATTGCACAAATTGGACTTCCTTGGGATTCCATCCTGTGTAGGCTTTGGTCTTCATGAAACGTATAGGTATGTGGATTTGTATTTTTCTGATCAGAAACCTGCACAACTGTTCAAACAGTTAATTGCGGTCAGTATTTGTTTAAAAGAAATTAACCTTATTTCACTCCCCAGATGCATTAATTTGATAAAAATATGACAGTTCAGATATTTTTAACAACAAGACAAAGAGCTTTGTTTTGTAAAAATTCTGTTATTTGAAGAAAAGTTTTCTTTCAAAAGCATTTTATAAGGTTTTACTGACCCCAAATGTTTATAATCACAGATTTCACTACATAAAAAGTAAATCAGGGTTCCCTCACTTCTTTAAAGTACTTGAATTTCAGACAAATGGATTCAAGGCCTGAAGAGTACTTAAATTACACAGAGGCCCTTGAAACTGCTTAAATTGAAGTTGTTTATGGTTTTATTTTAACAGTTGTACTCCATGGTTTAAAACAGATATTAAAAAAAATCTTTAATTTGACTTTTGTTAAAAAACACGGACAAATAATGGACAGTTTATGAACCATTTTAATAAAGTTCTTTGGACAACATGTTTTTTTTTAAATGGTAAATTTGTAAAAATTACTCTGACATTTTTAATCTAAAAACTAAGTGTAAGTAAAATGTTGAGCATGGCAAGGACTTTCATGCTGCTACATATGCTGGGGTATGAATTACAAAATAGCTTGATTCAAAATGAATGGTCCTTAAAAAAGTCTGAATTTGCTTTACATGAAAGCAGGAGAAGCCTGGAAAATGCTTCAAATAAAAATAATGCCTAACATTAAATTTTGACACATAGATAATAAAGTAAACTGACAGTGTAAAATGTTAATAAGCCAATATATATATATATATATATATATATATATATATATATTATTCACAGACAACAACACCTTGTTTACTTTTTTATGGTGGTCTTAGCACAGACTGACACTTTATTAGTTTTTGTGTATATCTTGCACATATAAAGAAAAGTGAATTTGTTTTCCCCACTGTAGAGTTTGTTTGTAACTCTACATACAACTGTCTGCAGGTTTTTAGTTTTTCCTTGCATGGGACAACCTCTACAAACCGAGTTAGATGAAGGAACCGGTTCTCTATCCGAGAAAAATGTTCTCCAGCTTGCACTGAGACTAGTAAGTATCCCAATTAATGGCTTTACCCTCACACTTGTTTCTATGTCCATAGACATTCTCTCTTTAAAAAAAAAAAAATACTAGAATCATACTAGAATTGCGGGTACATTTTGTATGCCATTACCGTTTAAAAGAAAATGAATGGAAAATAATTTAAATGTGCCACCAATTGCTGATAAGTCATAGAATTAATTTCTGCATGTTTTGTAGCTGGATTCACTTGAATTTATCCATGAGAAGGAATATGCCCATGCTGACATCCATGCAGGAAATATTTACATCAAGTCCAGCAGTCACACAGAGGTCAGTGATGTTTTATGTCATTAATTGGGGTAAGGCTGGGTTTATATTTGCACGTTCAGACTTTCAAATTCAATGAAATAATTAAGCAGAACTTTAAAAGGCTAATGGAGATTATCAGAACATACTCTTATGAGCACAACATACGTTATATTTGAAACTGTAACTCTGCATTATAAAACAGGCTTAGGTCTATAAAAGTTTGTGACATCATCGGTTATGTGAGAAACCATCTCCAAATTAGCTATTTCAATCAGAAAAAAATTATTTGTACATATTCTTTAAAACTATAATTAAATTTCAAATACATTGTGTTCAATAATAACATCCCATATGAATGCGTAATGTGAGTCCTATGTGCTTTTACAGCTGTATTTGTCTAAAATGCAACGGTTGGTCCCTATATTGTTTATCAATATTTGGTTTGAAATCACATGCAAGTATGACTTTAAAAAAGCATCAGCACTATTTAATTGACTGTGAACAATGTTGTACTTTAATAGTCATTGGCTGCTAATGTGATTTCTCTATTCAGAATTTGCAAACAATGTTTATTTGAAATGATATTAGGAAGGTGAAAGACCAAATGTGCGAATATACAGTCAAGCCTGAAATTATTCATACCCCTGGCAAATTCTGACTCAGTCACTTTTATTTAACCGGCAAAACATTCTTGTGGAGTGCCCTATTTTTAATGTTATCAGACAACCATTCTTATCTGGAGAGACTTTAAAGAAAATATTTTAAAGAGCCCATATTATACATGAAATAGGGTCATATCCTGGTTGTAAGGGTCTCCAACAACAGTCTAATATGCATGCAAGGTCAAAAAACACTTTCATGGTCTTATAATCTGCATTTATTTTTACCTAATTATCCCAGCGACTCCTGTATGAATCGTCCAGTGATTCAATCTGCGCTGATTGGACCGATGACAGTCTGTCGCGATTGGTCGACTGCCTTCAGTCAGAGAGGGAAATGGCCAATAGCTAATCAGCAATTTAAAAAGTAATCACAGTTCATACACGCTCGATAGTGCAGACGTGGATTTTAGCTGCCACACTATGGCGAGTGGATAGTGCCACGGATAACCGAACGAAGGAGACAGTCGTGTACTGGCCATACCACACACACACAAAAACACACACACACCTCCGGATGACAACGCTCCCGCTTCCGCCCGCACCCGCCAGGTTTTAGCCTGAGAACCCGCTCCGTTTTCTGCCCGCCGCGCCCGGTCCCGCTAGAGCGGAGAACACAACCAAAAATCACCCAGTATACAGTCCAGACAGCCAAGCTGTCGTTCGTTCGTTCGCTCGCTCTCTCTCTCTCTCTCTCTCTCTCTCTCTCTCTCTCTCTCTCTCTCTCTCTCTCTCTCTCTCTCTCTCTCTCTCTCTCTCTCTCTCTCTCTCTCTCTCTCTCTCATACGCGCGCGTGCGCGCACTAACACACACACAAGCACCACGCAGACTCTCTCTTTCTAATTCGCATAGCAATATCCGTGATATTGCTAGACAGCCCGCTCCCGTCCCAAATTAAACCCGTTACCGACCGCTCCCACGATTTATTCGGAAATTTATTCCCGCGGCTGTCCCCGCGCCAGATTTCTGCGGCGCGGGAATAAATTTCCGAATAAATCGCGGGAGCAGAACTCTAGCACGGAGCTCCATAAACAAACAGCACGCGTCGCGTTTTTAACGTGACTTTGCACGCGATAAGATAAAATATCCAGTTAACCTGATACAGTACACGCGGTTACAAGTAACAAATCACAACTAAATACATTTGCAAGCAAGAGTAAACGAGGCAACAACTTTAACCGCACGTACTTACACTTGAGAAATGGAAGAAACCCATCCTGACGTCCATCAGTTACTCTTTACTGATCCTTCCTTTAACAAACTCAGATGAAGTATTCTTTGTAGCATGTAGCTTCCAGAAGTTTCCAACTGCTTGGTTATAATGCTGAGGTTTCATCTTTGGGTAGAGACTCAATATATCCATCTGCAGTGTGACTTCAATCGACCGGCATGTTTGTGTGCGTGTGTTTGTGGGTGTGCGTGTGTTTGTGGGTGTGTGTGTGTGTCTGGGTTTCTGCGTCAGAGGGCGGGGCCTCAGGTTTGAAATCTCCCGGGTTTGCGCGTGCACGTGAATAACTTGGTTTCGTTCGTACGTCATGGCGAAACACCTAATGAGTCGGTATCAAGGCGACTCGTTTGAAGCACTATGAGTCGACTCTTTTATAGATGAATCAACCGTTTTAAACACTGTATTCTTACAGATTTAAGCCTTAGCTGGATACTTCGCTTCACTTAGAGCTGTGTTACACACTACATGGAGGGGAATTTTCAAAAACCCATAATATGGGCTCTTTAAAACATCAATCTTTCTTCAGTTATTTTAGATTTTTATCTTATATTTTATTATTATTATTATTATTATTATTATTATTATTATTATTATTATTATATTTTATCTTGTGTATTATTTATTGCTGTTGATGACCTTTATTTGTTAGAATATTTTTATAATTATAAAAAAGTGATATTTATAAAATGTAGTTTTGTAGATTTTTAAATAAATAAATAAATGTCTCTCTCTTTCTAATAAACCAGCAAGTTTCTTTTGACAGAAGCTTCTCCCAAAAAAAATAGTAAGATTATGTACAATAGGGATAATTTTTGAAAATATATTTCTCAACTTTTATTTACATTTGAACAAAAATGTTTTGTTTCAAGTGCAAATTTGCCAGGGGTATGAATAATTTTGCACTTGACTGTATAAACCCAACTTTACCCCTGTAGTGGCATATAAGATAATTAAAATAAATTTCCACCACAGCCCCACGTATACATTATTCAGAGTATTGAGATGTTTGTTTGTGTTTGCAGGTGTTCTTGTCTGGCTTTGGTCATGCCTTCAGGTTTTGTCCTGGTGGGAAGCATGTGGAGTATCGACAGGGAAGCCGCACTGCTCATCAGGGTAACATCAGCTTCATCAGTCTGGATTCTCACAAGGGGGCTGGTGAGTGCCTGTTATCCATCACATCATTTGCTTTATCTATATAATAAAAATGGACGTGTGATATACAGTAAGTGTATGTGTGTGTTCTGGCAGGTCCCTCTCGACGTAGTGACCTGCAGTCTCTGGGTTACTGTATGCTGTGCTGGATGACAGGATCATTACCCTGGAGTCACCTCTCGCACAATAGCTCTTCTGTTGCTGCAGAGAAGGAGAGGTCAGCAAAAAATACTCAAACATCTTGATTAGGGTTGTAGTCAAGAGCGGCTGTTAGCAGAAATGGCTTGGACTGGTCTTTGACTTTGTAACTTGTAAAAATCACGCAATGGAAACTAATAAACAAGACAAAACAGAACTATATTAGGTTATGCGTGTCCAAAAATAAGTTAAATTAGTCCAAAAATATAAGCTTATTTCATCCAACCTCTTTTATAATGATAAACTAACTTCATTATTATATAGTCTTAAATCCTAGTCATTTTTGGTCATATTTGGCTAAAGTCTGATTACATTCTTACTGCTACTGTACTTGGTCAGACTAGTTGTTAATACAGATATTTGTAAAACTGGCTTTTGAACTGTTACGTGGAAACTTTATTTATATCTATCTATCGACAATACAGGCAAAAAGTTTGGACACACCTTCTCATTTAAAGAGTTTTCTTTATTTTCATGATTATGAAAATTGTAGATTCACACTGAAGGCATCAAAACTATAAATTAACACTTGTAAAATTATTTACATAACAAAAAAGCGTGAAACAACTGAAAATACGGCATATTCTAGGTTCTTCAAAGTAGCCACCTTTTGCTTTGATTACTGCTTTGCACACTTTTGGCATTCTCTTGATGAGGTTCATCTGTCTGTCGGTGTGTCTGTCTGTCTATCTACAGTATGCATAGGTATTTATTTATTTTAAGACCAAAAGTAGACATGTTTATTTACTGTTAAATAAATGACATTTATGTTCTAAGTTTTTTTTTTTAAATGTTTAGAGTGATATCTCAAAATAATTATTGTTTATTTCAAAATATTTTGTGGAAACACAACTGAACAAATGGCATGAACAAAATCTCACCTATAAGAGCATTGCCTTTTAAATAAAAGTTATTATAAATAACATTAAAACATTGATATAATAAATCATTATTATTATTATTATCTGTACTTTTTTTAAAATAAAAAATGTATTAGTTTAGTTTAGTTTAAAGCTTTATTATTCTCCTTGAGGCAATTCATTCTGACATGGTGATGCTTCACATATAACAAAAATGACTCGCATAACACAATAAACACCAACACTCAAGTACACAAACAAAAACTGAAGAAAAAATTGTTATTAACATAAAAAATAAATAATAAAATTTTTTAAATGATAATAAAACAATAATATTCCATCGATTAACTACATTTATTACGTAACCGAATTGCTTCAGGCACAAAAGTAAATTTCTAATGATTTGTGGAACATCTTATTGTCACCCAAGGGTCATCCACTCAAAATATTTGTTTAAGGGTTGTGTGCTATCTCCTAATATTTTATATGCCACCCATATCACCTGCTGTTCATAATCGGATGCAATAAATTAGTCCAGAAATATAAGCTTATTTCATCCAACCTCTTTTATAATGATAAACTAACTTCATTATTATATAGTCTTAAATCCTAGTCATTTTTTGGTCATATTTGTCTAAAGTCTGATTACATTCTTACTGCTACTGTACTTGGTCAGACTAGTTGTTAATACAGATATTTGTAAAACTGGCTTTTGAACTGTTACGTGGGAACTTTATTTATATCTATCTATCTACAATACAGGCAAAAAGATTGGACACACCTTCTCATTTAAAGAGTTTTCTTTATTTTCATGATTATGAAAATTGTAGATTCACACTGAAGGCATCAAAACTATAAATTAACACTTGTAAAATTATTTACATAACAAAAAAGCGTGAAACAACTGAAAATACGGCATATTCTAGGTTCTTCAAAGTAGCCACCTTTTGCTTTGATTACTGCTTTGCACACTTTTGGCATTCTCTTGATGAGCTTCATCTGTCTGTCGGTGTGTCTGTCTGTCTATCTACAGTATGTATAGGTATTTATTTATTTTAAGACCAAAAGTAGACATGTTTATTTACTGTTAAATAAATGACATTTATGTTCTAAGTTTTTTTTTTTTAAATGTTTAGAGTGATATCTTAAAATAATTATTGTTAATTTCAAAATATTTTGTGGAAGCACAACTGAACTAATGGCATGAACAAAATCTCACCTATAAGAGCATTGCCTTTTAAATAAAAGTTATTATAAATAACATTAAAACATTGATATTATAAAGCATTATTATTATCTGTACTTTTTTAAAATAAAAAATGTATTAGTTTAGTTTAAAGCTTTATTATTCTCCTTGGGGCAATTCATTCTGACATGGTGATGCTTCACATATAACAAAAATGACTCGCATAACACAATAAACACCAACACTTAACATCAAGTACACAAACAAAAACTGAAGAAGGAAAAATTGTTATTAACATAAAAAATAAGTAATAAAAATGATTAAATGATAATAAAACAATAATATTTCATCGATTAACTACATTTATTACGTAACCGAATTGCTTCAGGCACAAAAGTAAATTTCTAATGATTTGTTGAACATCTTATTGTCACCCAAGGGTCATCCACTCAAAATATTTGTTTAAGGGTTGTGTGCTATCTCCTAATATTTTATGTGTCACCCATATCACCTGCTGTTCATAATCGGATGCAATACTTCGCAGGGGAACCCCTAAAATTTTGGAGCACAAATGAACAATTCATTGAAGATGATTCTTGTTTTTTTTTTTAGACGGTGAGAAAAATCAGCCAATAAAGCAAAAGGCCAAAATACTTCTAACAAACTAATTATAAAAGGTCTTAAGAATAACTCTCTCAACATTAAATGAGTTGAGTTCCTCAATAAAAAAGTAAAAAAATTAAAAAGTCTCTGATGAGCCTTATTCACAATTTTATGTGCATTTTGATCAAACATGTATATAAAAGTTGTTGCCTTTATAATTGTGAGATTGAAATTAAAAATTATTTATTGTTTAATTGAAACTAGCTGCTACTCTGAAAATTGGACAGCTGATTTTGTTGAGTTTTGTTTGAATCATTTTAATTTATTGAAAGAAATTTAAAATTTCTGTACGTCTGATGAGTGTACAGTTCAGTTTTGCCACTTTAATGCACCACATACCTTTACCATAAAGAATGGCTAATGATTGTATTATTTTCATTAATATAAAACTAGTTACATTCCTTAATGTTTAACATGTCGTCTGCCTGTCTACAGGTACATGTCTGACGTCCCTGGACTTTTGACTTACTGCTACAAACAGAAGAAAGCTTCAAGTGAGCTTGCACATTTCTATGCTCATATTAGACGTATTATTTTAGTGAAGGCGTGTGTATATAATGTGTTTTTGTGCAATTTAGGTGCATTGCAGGAATACCTGTGCAACGTCATGGCCCTGCAGTACACCGAAAAACCAGATTACACACTTCTGAAAGGAGGACTTCAGCAGAGCTTACAGAAGATGGGTGGCAGTCTGAAATAATCACTCAACCGGCAGGTAACTCATATATTCATATATACAGTCTGCGCAATATTGTGCCTTCATAGGTTTTTTTTCTGGCGAAGATCTTTCTTTTTAATTGTGCTTACAAAACGAGTAACACTTTCAACAGCTTTGAGGTCAGGAGGAGGACTTTAAAAGTGCAACTGCTATTAAATCAGCTCTGTTTTGAAAATAGATGATAGCAACGGCTCTTGAAACTATCCGCTTTGCCACAGTATTTTTATTTATTTACTGTAAAGTCTCTAGTTAAAATGACACTTTTAAAGAATGTTTACATTCAACATCAAAGACACCTTTTTCCTAACAAACACTCTGCGATTTAGATGGTAGGAGGCACTTTTAGTTCACAGAAGCTACATTTAAAAAGACTTAAATAAATCATTTCTAATCTGAACGTTGCACTACAAAATTCATTATCAGTTGTACAATTTCTTTCATGCTGTGCTTTCAGAGGTCAGGCAAAAATGTGAACACTTGGTATTTTAATGTGACTTTTCAGTCATTTGCATTATTTTTTTCCTTTTTAGTCTAATTTTATCTTTGTGTTTCGATGTAACACTGAAATAAATTGCAGCCTGCTTCTCTGATTTAATTAAGGATATAGATTTTATTTTATTTTTTTATTCTCGTGTCTGTTTTCAGTTTTTTTTTTGTTTTTTTTTGCCACAGATGCTTAATGTCACCTGTTCTTTCATTTCTAACCCCTATTATCAGTGTTTACTTCAATATCTCTAAAAGAGACGAATGAAAGATTTTGTCAAAATGACTCACTCAAATGAAATCACTATTATGTTTGATGTATATATATATAATGTAATTTTTGCTCTTTTAAATCTCCTTTAATGTTGGATGGTTGATGGTTGAGTCATATAAATTTATATCATTAAGTCACCCAGTGTTGAGGGTAACGCATTACAAGCGAGTTACATAATAATATTACTTTTGTTAGTACTAAGTAAGGAATTGCTTTTAAAAATGAAGTAATATTTATTGAGTTATTTTTTCAAAATGTAATGAGAGTTACTTTTAGTTTAAGTAATTAGCTTATAAAAAATAAACAGCTGAACTATAATGAATGTAGTCACATTGAATACCGTACTCAATCAGAAAATGTAGAAACAGACAGGAATCAAGATGGCAGAGCTTTACATTTCTGCAGTGGAAGTATTTTCTTTATTTTGAACAGATCAAAGAATGGAGAAAGAGGATCGTCTCAGTGGACAGGGATTTTACTTCACTATTAAGACAACGTACAAAAAATGGGAAGCGCATTGCTTTCACACTTTTTATTAATCTGTATATATGGCATAAACTGTAGCTTAAGGGTCAGGAAGTTCTCAGAAGATAAGATTATCCTACATTATTATTATTTTTTTGTGTTTTTTCAATGAAAATAAATCCTGCAAGTTATGACATGTAACCCATTACTTACCATAAAAAGTAACTAAGTAGTTCCTCTAGTTACTTTTTGGGGGAGTAACTCAATGTTGTAGAGCATCTTCAAAAGTAACTTTCCCCCATCACCTAGTTTTACCTAACTACTGAATTCTGCTTTATAGCTTTAACTACAGTTTGGTGTCTCGTCTTGCATGATCAGTGCATGGGGTGTGGGTAAAAGCTGATTTGGCTTAAATCTCAAGTCTGATGTTTTTTTTTTCTGTTGTTCACAGGTGAAACCATAGGAGAGATAACTGGTGTGGGAATTGGATTTGATCGTTTTATGGAATGTTTAAAAGGGCTTTTATGTTTTTAAAAGTGCTTTTATTGTGGTTTTTATAGTTGCAGTGTAAACTTTGCATGCTTGTTTGCTCTTCTAGATTTGAATCACTGTTATTTGTTATGGTTTCATGTTTTTTTTTTCTTTTGAAATAATGATGGTATGTTTAGTTATAAGGGTGAATTCAGAGCTATTTTTTATACAAAAAATTATTTCTCGGATTTGACACAACAAAACACATTTCTTGGTTTTGACAAGTTTGTTGTTATAGGTTTATATTTTAGGAAAGACCATATTCATGTTAAAAAGGGGGTTTATTTTCATATTTTCTCCCATGTTTTTAATCAACTGTTTTGTGCAGCAACCATTACTAAAATAAACATCTGCATTCAAAACTTATCTCGTGTTTATTCATTGTGCACAGCTGCCGCAAGGGGGCATTGTCGACTCAAATGTAAAGGTTTATAACGGAACTCAAAACGTCCGGTCTGTTTTCTACACGGAACGAAAATAAAGCTTCCATGTTCAATAAGGGAGCGCGAACAGGCAGATGAGCTCTTTTTCTGCATTTACACCAGTGAACAGCTTTATTAATGAATCCACCTAAAATGAAACGTCGCCGAATGGCGGAGCTGGAGCCCTGGATCGAGAAGCTCATCCAGAACTTCGGCCAAAACCAAACCGAAACTGTCGTCAAAGCGAGCGTTATTGGCGTGAGTAACGTTAGTTTCGTCACTGGCGAATATTATATCTCTAAGCTGTCGTGTCAGCAATTATATGTGTATTTTAGACGTGTGAAATCTCGGACTCGCAGCGGATGGATCGCACAGATGCCTGTATGCTGTTCCTGTCCGACGGGATAGCGATGATTCCCGCAGTGCTGAGCGACGCCGCATGGGAGCGTCTGCAGGAGTGAGGGACCCATTAAACCTCTGTTATGTCACCACACACTGCACACCTGAGCCCCTGTTTTTATCCTACTCATCTGAATAATCGGGCCCGGTGAAAAATCATGCTGAAATAAGCACAATCTATGTTTTAAGTCTGTGAACTTGTGTTGTGGCCTGATTGTAATTTTGGTACCTGACTACATGTGACACTGCTGTAAGTTAGAAATTGAGGTAAAGTTGGTTTTATATTTACTTTTTAACCTTCTTAATATAATTTCAGAAGTGTTCCTTGCAAATCCTAAATAGGGAAATATGAGCAGTTTATATATGAGCAAAACACAACTTTGTCTACACTAGAGATGCCTTGAGTTGGCCCATTGTAACCTTTGATTTGGCCCACCATCCATCAACTGAGAGGAGAGTGAGAATGATGGAGAGGGTTGGGGTGAATGCCTTTAACAGGTATCGTCATTTCTAATTTAACAAACTTTTTTATTAGTTTTATTGCTGAGCTACAAAAAAGCAAACTGAAATTAAAGTTTGTAAATGAATCTGACTTTTCAAAATGGAAATACTGTCACTCAATGCATAGAGGATAATGCAGAAGTAATAAGCAGCAAGCAAATCAAGACAAAAACTAGTTCAATTCTGTTATAAATGTTTTGTTTTTACTTTAATAACTTCATTATAAAATGTAAAACAGAATACTGTATTTGTTAATATAAAGCAGTGTTTTCTTTTCATTTTAAAACCAAGTAGATCAAATATTTAAAGCAGCATGGGCCAAATTGTTACTTAAAAAATGAATAAATGTGCGAATATAAAACCAACTTTACCCCAATAAGTTAGAAATGTAATGATGGCAGTAATTCACTGTTTAATACTCTCTTCAGGTTGGAGGATTTGGATTCTTTTACATCCCTGCTCAATCATGTTGCATTTATTCGTAGCTTTGAGCTGGAGTTTGACATGAAGCCTGATCTGGTATGTGATGTTGCTGTATCATTCCCTAAACATTTGTTTGTTTGAGCACTGTTCATTTTGGTGATTTGACTTTAATATGTCATGCCAGTAAAGCAGGGGTCTATTTAAGGTCAGGCAGCCTTTGGATGGGATGACAGATCAAATGTTTTGGCATGTTTCAGTTTAAGTGTTACATTTTCAGCTTTAACCTGTAATAACACTTATGTAGAGCACTATTGAAAAGATAGTTCACCCAAAAATTAAAGTTCTGTCGTTTACTTACCCTTCACTTATAACAATAATAATAATAATAATAATAAACTTTATTTTTATATAGCGCCTTTAAAAGTTAAATAAAAGCTACCCTAAAAAGTAAGTTTTAAGAGATGGTTTAAATGTACTCGGCGATTCTGCATTGCAAATATCAAAAACCTACTATGGAAGTCAATGGTTACAGGTTTTCAGCTTTCTTCAATGTATGATTTTCTGTTTTTAACAGAATTAATAAACTAATAAAGGGTTATAACTATTTGAGGGTCAGTAAATAGTAAGTAAATGTTCATTTTGGGGTGAATTGTCCCTTTAATGCATCTGAATAAGTAGTTCTCAACTTGTTTCACCCCAAAATAAAAATGTACTCATCATTTACTCACCATCAAGTGGTTTAAACTTTTTTTTAAAGTTTTTTTCCTGTTAACTACAAATGAAGGTATTTTGAAGAATGCTGGACAACAGTAGCCACTGACATCCACAGTATTTATTTTATAATTACTATGGAAGTCAATGGCTAGCAGTTTCTTCAAATTATCTTCTTTTGTCTTCAACAGATGAAGAGTTGGAAAAAACTGGATGAGTGACACAATTTTAGTTTTTAGGTGAATTATCGCTTGTTATAAAGAAAATATTTATTTAACAATACCAAATGAAAAGTTTATTTAAATGTTGTTGATGTCCAAACCAGTGTTAATGTTGACAGCAAATTTTAATTTAGTCTTAGTCTTTTAACTAAAATTCCTTTTTAATTTGTCATATTTTAGTCTTCTGAATCATTTTAGTTTTAGTTGACTGAATTTCATAAGATCTTAGTTGACTAAATCTATTTTAGATTTAGTTGACTAAAATATATTTGGTTTAATTTAAGTATAATTTAATGAAAATATTGTATACAAAATATTCTAACCTAAAATGAAAAAAACTGTGTCATTAAAATGTGGAATATACTGTAGCGTTTCCAACGAAGACCAAAAATTAGATATGCATTGATGATTTATATCATAAGTAATAAGTAAAATTATGTGTCAGCAAGCACAGTAGACTAGTGAAAATGCAGGATTTCTCTCTCAGCTCTTGCTATCTCATTATAAATAGTTTAATCAGACAGATGCAATCGCACCCCGCGTCTACTGTGGATCAGTTACTTTTCAAATATGTGTGTATGTGCGTCATGCATCAGACACACCAAGATTAATTCTGAATGGATATTTACCAAAATACATCCCTGAATCACATTCTCGTCTTGTTTTTTTTTTAGTCAACGAAAATGTCAGTATATTTTTATAACAGCTGTCGTCATCATCACCCAATTTTTTTATTTAGTTTTCATTGGCAGAAACTTTTTCGTCACAAAAATTGACACATTTTTTATCAATAAAAGGAACTCTGGTCCAAAGAAAGTAATGACCAATATTTATGCAGTGTATGTTTCATCTATTGTTTTTGTTTTATTTTTTTCAGGGATCCTGTCAGTTTTACTTGAAAGTTAATCAAATGAACACCTTTTGCATCGCCCTAAAGCGCCAACAACCTCCCAGCTGGCAAGTCATTGATCGCTGTAACCTTCATAATGATGCCTCTTAATCGCACTCAATCACTGCTGGTTAACCTGTCTTAACCTCTAATCATCTTACAGCACAACTCTCCAGTCAGTCAGAGACCAGATTGAGAAGACGTGGAGGTGTGTAAACCCTATTTATAACATGCGAACACATCTCGGACAGAATGTGTTTTTATAATGATGCGTTTAACGGGTAGTGTTAATTGCATTGCTCTCTGTCAGATCCCGCGGGGGGGGTTCAGAAAGTTCAGTCTCTGGTAAGTGTCACACTTTTTTTCTTCTTTAAATAGCTTCTATACACTTGCACTGAACTGTAAACGCCTGCAGTTTGGGTTTAAAAAGTGAAGATACTATATATGTATCGTTTTAATAGGCCTGTGCAAAATAACAATATATATCGTATAGACAAAATAAAAAGTCTATCATTTCATATTATGCTCTATCCTTTATTTAGTTGAGTTACTAAATACATTGTTTAAAGTAATACTTTTTCATGATTTAAATAAGCGTAATATAACGTGCCATTATCATGATGCACACAGAAACATCAATAATAGCATTGTGAGAAAGTTGCAATCTTGAAAATACAGTTTACATTTTTATTTTTACATTTGAATTTTGTTTTTATGTTGGACCTGTAATCGTAAGTGTTTTACATTTTATTAATGATCCTTTTGAATTTGCGCTTTTTTATCAAACATTTGAGTACATTTCTAGTACATACTATAGTCTTTTACATGTGGTCAATAAATATAAACTGATTGATTAAATTTATCGAAATGGTACTATATCATGATTTAAACTCACAGGCCATTTTATTAGGTACACATTACTAGTATCGGGTTGGACCCCCTTTTGCCATTTGAACTGCCTTAATCCTTTGTGGCATAGATTTAACAAGATACTGAAAAATTCCTGAGATTTTGGTCCATATTGACCTGATAGTATCACGCAGTTGCTGCAGATTTGTCGGCTGCAGATCCATGATGCGAATCTCCCGTTCCACCACAACCCAAAGGTGCTCTATTGGATTGAGATATGGTGACTGTGGTGGCCATTTGAGTACAGCGATCTCATTGTCATGTTCAAAAAAGCTGAGATGATCGACGCTTTATGGCATGGCAAGTTATTCTGCTGGAAGTAGCCGTCAGAAAATGGGTACACTGTGGTCATAAAGGGATGGACATGGTCAGCAAAAATACTCGGGTAGGCTGTGTTATTGACACAATGCTCAATTAGTACTAATGGGCCAAAAGTGTGCCAAGAAAATATCCCCCACACCATTACACCACCGCCACCAGCCTGACCCGTTGATACAAGGCAGGATGGATTCATGCTTTCATGTTATTGACAAGGCATTTGCACCAACAGAACCATTCTCTGTAAACCCTAGAGATGGTTGAGAGTGAAAATCCAAGTAGATCAGCAGTTTCTGAAATACTCAGACCAGCCAATCTGGCACCAACAAACATGCCTTGTTCAATGTCATTTAAATCACCTTTCTTTCCCATTCTAATGCTCTGTTTGAACTGCAGCCGATTGTCTTGAGCATGTCTACATGCCTAAATGCATTGAGTTGCTGCCATGTGATTGGCTGATTAGAAATTAGCATTAACAAGCAGTTGGACAGGTGTACCTTATGAAGTGGCTGGTGAGTGTATATCGTTATCATGATATGAGCTGCCTTATATCGCGATCAGAGATTTTCAT